TGCGTATATACATGTTTACATATATGTGTGTGTGTGTGTGTGTGCATACATACATATCTATCTATCTATATGTATGTATGTATATATATGAATATATATGTGTATATGCATATATGTGTGTGTGCGTGCGTGTGTGTGTGTGTAAGTACACACACACACATCTCTCTTCTCTTCTCTTCTCTCTCTTCTCTCTCTCTTTTCTCCTTTCTCTTTCTCTTTCTCTTTCTCTTTCTCTTCTATCTCTTTCTCTCTCTCTTTCTCTCTCTCTTTCTCTTTTCTCTTTCTCTTTCTCTCTTTCTCTTTCTTTCTCTTTCTCTTTCTCTTTCTCTTTTCTTTCTTTCTCTTTCTCTTCTCTTCTCTCTTTCTCTTTCTCTTTCTCTTTCTCTTTCTTCTTTCTCTTTCTTCTTTCTCTCTTCTCTTTCTCTTTTTCTCTCTCTCTCTCTCTCTCTCTCTCTCTCTCTCTCTCTCTCTCTCCACACAATCACACACACACACACACACAACATGTATGTATTATGTGCGTTGATACAAAAGTAACAAAACCCCCAAAACCCCGGATGTCCCGCGTCCGAATCCTCCTCCTCCTCCTTCCGAACGCGTCTTCCGCCAGACTTTCTCCAGACGAACACGGGATTTGCATAATGTGTGCTCACGCATTTGGAAAGCTGTTTTATGAGCTATTTGCTTTCGTGGTTATCCTACTATAGGAAGGTTTACGTATTATATTGGCGGTGGAATCATTCTCTCCTTCTCTCTTCTCTCCTCTCTCTCTCTCTCTCTCTCTCTCTCCTCTCTCTCTCTCTCTCTCTCTCTCTCTCTCTCTCCTCCTCTCCTCTCTCTCTCTCTCTCTCTCTCTCTCTCTCTCTCTCTCTCTCTCTCTCTCTCTCTCTCTCTTCTCTCTCAGTTTTATTTCATTTTCTATACAAGACGTTTTTAGATATATTTTATGGACATGCTGATGATGGATATTTTTAGTGCTCTATTTAGATATATAGAAGTATTCATGATATATATGTATATATACTTATGTAATATATATTTACGTGTGGTATTTTACGTAGATACGATATATTATATACACACACATACATAAGCATGTTATGTGTGTGAGTTACCCATTTATCCATAATATTTAGGTATGAATGTAAGTAATTAGATGTGTGTGAATACGTGTATAAGGAAGAAAAGACAAATTAACTTTGTGAGTATCCATTCTGCATAGTATTAGTATATGTATGTAAATTAGATGTGTGTGAATACGTGTATAAGGAAGAAAAGGCAAATTAACTTTAGGAAGCGGAATCTACGGTAAACAAAGGAAGTTTCAGCGAAAGTTGGGTAAAAGTTACGTCATCCTCGGGAACCAAACTCACAGGGAATGTTACGGCAATGTAGAATCGGTTACAGGGTGGGGAAATGGTCGGGGGCGAGGTTGAAACAGCTAAGCGGTGAAAGCCGGTAGGGTAAATTAAGGGTATAATAGAGAGGGGGTAATAAGTTTAAGGTGGTTGAAACAGCTGAAGTGTGTGACATAGGAGGGTAGTAAATTTAAGCGGGTGACAATAGTAGGGTAAAGTAGTTAAGGGTGAAATAGTGAGGGTAGAATTTGAAGGATGAAGACGGGAGTTAGGGTAAAATTTAAGAGTAAGTAGGAGGGGTAAGATCGGCTTCGGGGTTGAAACGCGAAGGTGTGAGAAGTAGAGAGGTGAATTAAGTGAACGAGTTGTAAATTAGAGGGTGTTGAATAGGAGACGTAAAATTTAAAGGGTGAAGTGAGATGGGGGGGTAAGATGTTAAGGAGTTGAAAATGTTAGGGTAAACTGGTAAGAGGGTGAAATGAGGGCGTTAAATTTAAGGTTTGGTGAGAATAGGAGGGGGTAATGTTCAAGGGTGAACAGTAGGGTAAAATTAAAGGTGAAAACAGTAGGGGTAAAATTTAAGGTTGAAACATAGGGTAAAATTTAAAGGTTGAAAGTGGGGTGAAAATTTAAGGGTGAAACGATGGCGGTAACAATTTAAGGTTTGAAACAGCGTAGGGTTAAAATTAGGGTTGAAGCAGTAGGGTTAAAATTTAAGGGTGAAGGACGAGAGGGTAAGAGTTTAGGTCGAAACAGTAGGCTGGAAATTTAAGGGTTGATAACAGGGGTTGAGGGTAGACTTAAGGGTGAAAACGTAGGAGGTAAGATTCTAAGGGTGAAGCAGTAGTGGGTAGAATTGACAGGGTTGAACAGTGAGGTTAAAATTTAAGGGTGAAACGTAGGTAAAATTTAAGGGTGGAAATAAGGAGGGTGTAAGGGGTGAAACAGTAAGGGTGAAATAGGAGGGTAAAATTTAAGGGTGAAATAGGAGGGTAAAAATTTAAGGTGAAACAGTAGGGTAGGATTTAAGGGTGAAACAGCAAGGTGAAATAGGAGGGTAAGATTTAAGGGTGAAACAGTAGGGTAGGATTTAAGGGTAAAATTTAAGGGTGAAACAGTAGGGTAAAATTTAAGAGTGAAACAGCAAGGTGAAATAGGAGGGTAAAATTTAAGGGTGAAAAAAGAAGGTGAACAATTGGTTAAAACTACGGGTGAAACAGCAAGGGTAAAAACAATAAGGTAAAACTTCGGTGTGAAACATCAAAGTAAACATCGAAATGGAATATAAAACATATAAGGTAAAAACATCGCAGTAGGTGAAACACGCAGGTGAAATATCGAGTTAAAACACTGAAGCGAAACATCAAAGAGAAAGCATCGAGGCGAACCATTACAGTGAAACACGTATTGCTTCATATGAATCGATCTGATTCGAACCCACCGCCGCACAGCCGCCCTTAGAAGGATCTGAACGTAAGCCTTCCTTCTTTTGTTTATTATGATTTTATTGTCGTTTTTATTTAGATATATACAAGTACTTATGATATATACGTATATATACTTATGTAATATATATTTACATATGTGTATATGTACGTAGATACATATATACATATATACACACATATACATAAGCATGTGTATGTGTCGCTGGTGGGCGTGTGAGGAAATCCCGTGAGGTTGTAAAGGGCGTAGGAATGTGGGCGTGTGAGGAAGTCCCGGTGAGGTTGAAATGGGCGTTGATATGGGCGTAGGAATGAGATAGATTTAAGCGAAGGGGAAAAAATAGTTACCGCCAAGGATTTATTTTAGATTTTTTTCTTTTCTTTTCTTTCTGTTTATCCGCCAAGGATTTATTTTAGATTAGTTTTTTTCTTTTCTTTCTGTTTATCTTCTTTTCTTTTCTTTTTGTTTATCCATAATTTCCTTGTACGATTTCTGGGTTATGGAAACCTGCAGCAACAGTACGCTAACATTATGTAAATGAATGCATTGTCAACACTGTTGCTATGCTACCGATATTTTTCTTTCTTTTTTTGTTCCTATAAGTTCATAATCTATGCTTTCTCTTTGTTCCTTTTACTAATGTCTATTTGAAGAAAAACGATTGTTACATTTTGTTTGTTATTGGGTAATTTTTTAGTGGTTTAAAACTTACTTTCAGTTTAGAGAGAGGAGGAGAAGGAGAGGGAGGAGAGAAGAGAGAGAGAGAGAGAAGAGAGAAAGAGAGAGAAGAGAGAGAGAAAGAGAGAAGAGAGAGGAGAAGAGAAGAGAAAGAGAAGAGAGAGAGAAGAGAAAGAGAGAGAGAGAGAGAAAGAGAGAAACAACCCGCCAATCCTAAATAACCTACGATTACCAAGCTAATATGAGATTCCAAATAGGACCTCGTTATAGCGGTACTTTAGATAAGACAAAATGCAGTGCGTGACAATCAAGACAGTCATCAAGCTCTTAACACCGGATATGAAAATGATTTTTATCGGTAAGATTAGCCAATCTCACTGAGGTAAGTGTACGTGAAGTCACCCTCCTAATTTGCATAGTTGCAGTAAAATGTGCAACAGTCTTTCCATACCGTCGTCTGCCATTTCGTCATAGTTAAGATGACACGATTTTACTTATCCGTAATTTTAATCTCTCTCTTTCTCTTTCTCTTTCTCTTTCTCTTTCTCTTTTCTCTTCTCTTTCTTTTCTCTTTCTCTTTCTCTTTTCTCTTTCTCTTTCTCTTTCTCTTTCTCTTTCTCTTTTCTCTTTCTCTTCTCTGTCTCTTTCTTTCTCTTTCTCTTCTCTCTCTTTCTCTCTCTCTCTCTCTCTCTCTTTCTCTCTCTCTCTCTCTCTCTCTCTCTCTCTCTCTCTCTCTCTTTTACTTTTTACTTTTTTTATTTACGATAAATGGAATGGTCGACTCCTTTATCTCCTTGGTTGACAGGCTGGATATTAAGCATCTCTTTGTCTTGTTCCAACACACCGAGAACCAGCGTGAGTCCCCCCCGTCAAGCTGGAACCCGTGTGGCTAATATTTCACTGCTATAATTCGGTTTTACTTTCGTTTCCCCCCCTCCCCCCATCTCCCTTCCTCTCGCCCATACACGCACACAAAGAAAACGGGAGACAGAATGCCACAAAGAAAGATATTCCCACACTCTCTTCCCCCTCCCCCCTCCCCTACCCTCCCTAATACCCCCCCCATCCCCCATCCCACCCAACCCCCTCTCCCCCCCCCCCCATTCTCCAAAGCAGTAGCCAAGCCTTTGTTTAAAGAAGGTCCAGAGAAAGTTTTTTTGATACTTTTAGCCGCGAGAAAGTTCGAGGAACTGTAATGGCCACAATACATCTAGAAAGCTGTCACGTTGTAGACAGACATAGAAATACTGTTGAATAATTAGCGTTCAGTGTAAAAGCAAGTGAAAAGCTCCAGACATTCACGTAATGGCGTTACTACCCTGAATATACTGATCTTTTTCCCCCCAAATTTGCTTCAATTTCGTTATTAGACCCACAATTCCTCGACTTGCGCTATCATAGTTCTAAACATTCGTGCTAACCCAAATACTACACTGAAACAATTAAGTCGCCGATTCAGATGTCGCCATAAAAACTGCGCAACGTCCAGCAATTATCTTTCCGTTTTAAAGCATAAGTTTAGCTTGCGTTACAAATGCGCCATTTAGAATCCCAGTTCTGCCGTCGGTTGTTCCGTCGTCGCCGTCGGGGGTGTTGTCGCCGTCGTTGTCGCCGTCGGGGTGTCGCCGTCGGGTTGTCGCCGTCGGGTGTCGCCGTCGGGGTGTCGCCTCGGGGTGTCGCGTCGGCTGTCGCCGTCGCGTGTTTTCGCCGTCGTCGCCGTCGGGTTGTCGCCGTCGGGGGTTGTCGCGTCGGGTGTCGCCGTCGGGGGGTGTCGCCGTCGGGTTGTCGCCGTGGGGTGTCGCCGTCGGCGTTTGTCGCCGTCGGGGTGTCGCCGTTCGGGTTGTCGTCGTCGGGTTGTCCCGTCGGGGTTGTCGCCGTCGGGGTGTCGCCGTCGGGTTTCGCCGTCGGGTGTCGCCGTGCGGGCGTGTCGCCGTCGGGTTTGTCCGCCGTCGTCGCCGTGTCGCCGTCGGGTTGTCGCGTCGGGGTGTACCGTCGGCCGTCGGGAGGTGCGCCGTCGGGGTGTCGCCGTCGGGGTTTGTCGCGTCTGGGGAGTCGCGTCGGTTGTCGCCGTCTGGTGGTGTCGCCGTCGGGGGTGTCGCGTCGGAGGGGGTTTGTCGCCGTCGGCTTGTCCCGGATGCTTACATCTCGGGAGTCGCCGTCGGGATGTCGCCGTCGGGATTGTGTCGCCGTCGGGGTTGTCGCCGTTCCGGCGTTGCTCGCCGTCGGGGTAGTCGCCGTCGGGATGTCGCCGTCGGTGTGTCGCCGTCGGGGTGTGCCGTTCTGGGTTGTCGCCTGTGCGGGGAGTCGCCGGTTCGTGATTGTCGGCCGTCGGCGGTGTCGCCGTCGGGTGGTCTCCGTCGGGGTGTCGCCGTCGGCGGTTGTCGTGCGGCGTCGGGGAGTCGCCGTCGGGATGTCGCCGGTTCGGGAGGCACGGTGTCGCCGTCGGGTGGTGGTCGCCGTCGGCGTGTCGCACGTCGGGTTGCGCCGTTCGGGGAAGTCGCCGTCGCGGATGTTCGCGCGTCTGGAGCGGTGTCGCCGTCGGGGGTGTCGCCGTCGGGGGTTGTCGCCGTCGGGCATGTCCGCGCTCGGGGAATGTCGCGCGTCGGGGTGTCAACAAGCGTTAGGAAATGGCCTTACCTGGGGACGCGCGGCCACTCCAGCGAGGCATTTCCGGCACTCAAAAGGGGGGGGAGGGGTGTACGGCGTACTAAACTATATCGGGATACAATATAGTAATATATATATATGATATATAAAGTTATAGTGATGATATATGTATGTAGGTATAATATATATATATATAGTATATATATAGGAGTTATATATTACAGGTTTAAAAGTGGTGTGTGGTGTTGGGGTTCTGTATGGTGTATGTATATGATAGGTGTAGTGTCGTAACAGTAGCATTATAACCGATATATATGTATTATGTGCGACAGGTAAAGATTATATAGTACTATATAGAGGTATTAGAGGGTATTTATAGTAGAGAGTATGAGTATAGTGAGTAGTTGTAGTCAGGTAAAAATTAGTATGTACCGAGTCTTAAGTTAACGACACATGGAGCACATAGTTTATAGTCATGTTCATGTAATTTGTGTAATTTAACAGTGTAAGGTAATCTTTAAATGGAGGAAGAAAATTATTACTAGGTTTTTGAATAAAGCAGGTGATTCTTACTTTTTTTGGAGAAAAGTTAGAAAAAAATGTGGTGATGTAGTATATAGTACCCTATTGATTATAGTATCGAGATGTATATTACGGTTATACTTCGTGCAGCCTTAGGAGGAGACAAGAACCAGGAATTGTTGCATCCTGTTCGGCTTCACAGTGTCACAGTGTACGTCGTTACATAGCCTGCGATTTGAGTTGAAAGAACAGATGGAATTCCTCGTTTGTGGATGCCGCTTGCTACTGTTGCTCGCCTCCCAGCTCGGGCCTCCGCCGCCCCCCTCCCGCCACACACACAATTTACTGATTAATCGTGCGCGGTCGCTTACGCACTCACTGTTAGAAGCGCACCCGCCGCACACAGCGAGAGAAACGACGCATGGGCCTATGGCACGCAATCGGCTCGACGAAACACAACAACGCGCAACACACACTACACGCACACAACTCAACACACTATCTTCACACTGCACACATAGCTCACACACACACAGATAGGGTATGCTACTTTGGGGAAGATAATATTAGTATGACTCATGTTACAGTGTTATTATATAGTATATAAGATTATAGTTGTCTTTAAGGGAAGAATTGGATTTTATAACTCTCAGTGTGTGGGGTGTGTCTCGAGAGTAGTGGTGAAGTAATTATGGTGTAGCTCGTGTTGGTTCACTGATGGTGTTGTTGATGCTCGTGTGTAAGAGTGATGTATGTGTTTGTGTGTGGTGTGTGATGTGTTGTTGTGTTTGTGTGTGTGTGTATGAGGTAGTGAATGTTTTATTTATCCAGGCGGGGGTCTAGGATGAAAGATAACTTGATGACATTTACATTTATTAGTTCAGTGCGAATAAGGAGATATATGTGTTCAATTGTAAGTCGAATAAGTGGAGTGAGAAGGAATAGGTGGTTTAGTCTCAAGAAGGTCTGGGTGTGAGTTAAGCAGATAAATGAGTATGTGATGTGTGTTGTGTGTGTGTGGGTCTGTGTTAGTACAATGTAATATATTATTATATATATTAACATATTGTATGTATAAATATAATATACATATATGTTTTATATATTGGGTGCGGGGGTTGTTGTGAGTTCACGGAGCATGTATATTGAGAATGGTGTCATAGGAGGGAGAGTAAATGATGTAGTGGTAACTCATAGATTATATAGATAATCGGTATGTAACTAATGAGGGAAGGATTATATGATTGGGGTCTCAGTTTATTAAGTACAATATAATAGTAGAGAAATATAACTTAATGATATTGTATGGGGAAGGTGTACTATCTCGGCTCGGTATGATAATAATGTGGCATATATATTGAAGGGGAGGAGTGGTGCGTTAGAACGGCTCTGTGTGTTGCTTGATGATAGGTTGCGTGGAAGGTATGGATGTGTTAAATGTTTTTTTCTATCAATCGCATAAGGGTTAAGTGAGGGGGTGAAGCGAGTGAATCGGATATGTTTTGATGTGAATCTTAATTCGAGTGTTCAAAATGGAAAAACAAGAGAATGAATGTCTCGCGGAGAAATCCTCTTTCAGAATCTTTTCAACTATCTGCAGATTTTGGAGATTCGAATACTCGAGAATTCTGAGAATAAGGAGAAGAGAAGGTTAGCATAAACTTTCGGACAGAAAGCAGTGGTGTATATAAAAAAGGAGGGAGTCCAATGGGAGGAAGGAAAAAAAGGACATAAAGAAGAGTGATTGAAAAATAGATTTCTTAACTGCTGAGTGACAGAAAAGTATAGTAATGCAAGAATGTATGCTCAAGTTAATGAGTAAATGTGTGACTTGGACACATAGAAATATCGATGCTTGACCAGAATAAACTGTAGCTAAGGTCATAATAAGCAAATTATATATAGAAGTGGCAAGCAAACGTGAGGTGGCTAAGCTAGCAATTAGTTGCCCACGTGTCTTGGAGTAGAGTTCAGGGCGGATGTATGAGTGAGTGGTAAGAGGAAGAAAGGTGAACATCGTTGCGAAGTCTTCTTACAGGACTGATGGAAATATGACAAGAATACCGCTATTTTTTAGAAGAGAAGAGTTCAATACTAACTCAGATCTACTGTCTTACTGCAAGCTTAAAAAGTAAGTCGAGTAGAATAATAATTTCTTCTCGCTCACGATTTGAGTAAGCGACATTGAAGCGTATCTTTTTCCTCTCCCTTCTCCACCCAAAACCCCTCCCCTATTACTAATTTCTCCCCTATCTACCATATACTTACCTATAGTCACTTTCGGTTCATCTAAATGAAGGCTTCAACAATGGCACTCTCACGCGCCCGTCAGTGTGTCGCTCTCCATTTACTCCTCTCGTACTCTTTTCGCTCTCGCGTCTTCATCACCATTAGCCTACCTTGGCTCTCGCCAAAATACAAATACCCCACAAATCGCGTTCTTTTCTTATTTGCTGTCCATGCTTTACTGCTCACCCTTCCATACTTATCCCAGGTCCTGCACACTGTGTCATTATTACGCATGAGCACAGCTTTCTACGGGCCTGCAGGCACACTCCTCGATCCCTACCCCCCAACTTGCCTTGCTGCCGAACAGCCCTTTGCTACCACATTCATTGCATCACCAAAATAGCCTTGCTCACAGGGTCTTTTGCTCGCTCTTCAACTCTCTGCCCGCTGTCCAATTAACCTAACTATAGTGTCTTTCCTATCCTATTTATGTCTCGTGTGTGTAATAAATATCTCTGACTACCTGATAGATAGGTAGAACTGATAGAATACCATATATAAATAGCATAGATTACCATAGATTTCGTGATTGTGTGTATATGCACACACTAGTCACTCCCATAGAAAACCTCGGTGCTGTAAACTTCGTATATCGAATACTCGGGTGAGCAGTAGTATTACTACTTTCACACCCCTCTCACCTCTCTCTCCATCCTCTTTACAACAGAATTACACGCCTTGATCGCAGCAGAACCTAGAACCACGATCAAGAACGCGTCCCTACCATCGCGTCCACTTGGTGGGCCTCGCCCCCGCCAACTCTCGCACGAAACCCCTTACGGTCGTATTTGAATGGCGCGCTGCGTCCCTCGGCCAGATAAGAGAGACCGCTTGGGTTTCTGCTAGTCTCTCACCTAATGAAGCGGCCGTTTTCTTTCTTGTCCGATGTGTGTGAGCAGACCCCGCTCCTGCCTCTGTGCGGGTCGCTTCTATTCCGTCTCACCGTGTGCATGACCAGGGGCCCTGTCGCCGGCTTCTTGGCGCTCCACTCCCACCTCGCTCTGGGCCATGTCCCCACAACAGTCCCGCATGTGCGGCAAACTATGGCACCAAACGTGGCATTGCCACGCAATAGTACCAACTTGCTTCGGCCGCCCTCTACTCCACGCCAAGTTGTGGGTTGTTTAATATATTATACACACACACACCCCCACCACATCACACACACATCCACACACATCCTATCTCTTATATATATATATCCTCTACTACTTCCCCTTATCTCCCTTCACTCTCACTCCCCCTTATACTACCTTCCCTTCCTCCTTATCCTTCCTCTCCCACCTTACCTCTCACCTTACTCCTACTCCCTATATACTACTCTCACCAGTTCTTACCCTGTCTGTGTGTCTCACTAACCTTCCACTTCCTCCTCTTCACTCCCCTCATTATCACCTTACCCTTCCTCTCCCCTTAACCCTCCTCTCCTTACCCATCCTCCTTTTCATATATATATACCCTTATATTCTTCCTTTCTACATATTAATACATAAGACTACTATCATCCCTAACTCACAACTACATCACAAACACATCCACCACCCACCACTCCTCCCTACCCCAACTCCCTCTCACCTCTAACACCTCATACACAACAACACACCTCCACTCACTACTACTCACTCACAACCACTACCACTATTATCTACCCCCTCCCCTTGTTACTCATAGCTCATATCTCCCTTATACCCGTACACTCATGCTAAGCTGTTATGCCTTTTGTGATATGACAGCTCCTGAGAGTTCTTTACGATATTATATACCGAGTACCAATGCATAAAATAGTATACCCCAGTATGTACAAACTCTAACTCACGAATCGACCCGTATAGGGAGAGGGGTGAGAGGTAGAGATGAGGCGCGATTGTTCTTGTAGAAACTTTCGAATAATAGGTTCTCAGGGAGAGGAGGCGTGATACATAAAGGTGTAGGCTGAGTAGTATATAATGAGTGAAAATGAAAACACATATCACCGCGCGACGCACGAGCCAGTTAGTGATATTAGGTGCTAGGTGGTAGTGTTGTACGGCGCACGGCCGAGGAGTTGAGTGATGCTTGTATTATAAGTGGGTAGGCTGTAGTATATGGAGATAGGTGTATACTACTAGAGGTAGGTAAGTATTATGATAGTATGAATCTGGTTGTGATATAGAGGGGAG